TCGCTCAATATAACCAAACGTACTACATAATGATATAGTATTAGCACTTTAATTCATAAATATAACCCTTAAGGTAAAAAGAAATTAGTGAGTTGTGTAGAATCAAAATAAAAAATATTGCAGCACTACAAATGATAATTTTGTTATTTATTTATATGAAAATTACTTTTTATATTAAAATGTCATCTAAACTTAAATTAACGTATAATGTCACAAGCCTAAAAACATAATAAATCCTTTAACAAAGCTGAAAAATAAAAGTAAGCCAACACTTTTTTATCTTTAAGATATCAATTTTATTCATTTGGAAAAAACTGAAAATCGTGCCGCTTAACTAGGTTTATATTTTGTTGTAAAGTTAAACAAAAATTATCTTTGAAAAAAAGATACTTGGCCAAAGGAAAAATGGTTAACTTGAAAATGTTAATAATTTTAAAAAATGAAACACTTTCAGATATATTTGTTCCTAAATGAACCTGTCGCGTTTCGCTAAGTGAACCCAATTTCTAAAACAAAAATAGGCAGTCGGTAGGCAATTATATGCATAAATACTTGAAATATATACATAAATATTTGCAAATTATCAACATTTTATCAATGTGTATCTTTTGCAAAATAAACTAAGTAATGTCCTATGTAAAATAAACTTTCACTAGAAATATAATGCAACATTATATATTGGACACGTATTGATGCTGAACAACGAGATAAGTTTTTGGTGTGTTTTTTCTAAATTTTCATGTGCAATTATTTTTAACAAAATTTATAACTCTAAGATCTTTTGCAAAATAAACTAAGTAACTTCTTATGTAAAATAAACTGCTCACTAGAAATATAATGCAACATAAATGCCCTGTAAAATGTTTTATGTTGAGAATGTATGGTTTAATTTCTCAGCCATTTAATTAAAAAGTTAAAGAATTATCCTATAAATATATTTTAGAACTATCCTTTACATTTTATTTTATAATGGAAAGAACTATCCTTTACATTTTATTTTAGAATAGCCAATGAATTATCCAGATCTCAGATTGTATTTTTAAATTCCCCTATAATCCAATTCTTCCCTGTAAATTTTACACGAACTCCAACTGACTTCATATCGCCTGCGGCCAAAAAACATTTATATTGGACGTCATTTTAAGGAATGTTCAATTCTAAAATTTAACCTGGTTGTAACATTATGTATATAACGACCTATTCATATTTATGTATGGTACTCAGTAATGTCTTTATCGTAATAATTGTAAAAAAACTGACAAATTGACCTTTCTTTAAGCAAACACAAAATTAATTTAAAATTACGGTCTTAAATGATTTAAAACATATGCCATTGAAATATAAGTAAACTCTTAACCTTCTGTATGTGAAAAGCAAGAAATCAAATTATAAAAATTATATATTAACGCAATTAACTTATTTAACTTTTCGTCAGAATGATCTATCATTTTTATTATTAAATCTTAAGCTCTAGTTACTTTTAAAATGCCACCAGTGAAGTATTTTTCTAAACTTAATTATTTTTTGTTTAAGAATGAAATTCTAAACCTGTTTCATTGACTAGTATTTTTGTGAAAATTATACGATATCTGATAGTTTACGTAAGTTTTGGTTTCAGTTGGTATCGTGTAACAGTAAGTGTACATACAATTTTATATCGCTTCCTTGTTTATATAGTTTATATAGTTTACGAAACAGTGTATAGAAAACAGTTAATCGTTATTATCGAGTATCAGCATTCAAAACCAGTTAAATCTGTTTGGTTTTGAATGCTGTAAGAAACGAAACTTCGGAAAACAGAGATTCGATTTATAGATTATAATAAGTTCCTAAAGCCTAAAATGATAATTATGACAACGTTTAACAGCAATGCACATAACTAGAAATATATAGAAGTGGAATATCAATAATCATATTGTTGACTAATCAAACACTATACATGTACACAATTCAAAACCAGTAAAAATCTGTTTGTCACCACTAAAAGGGGCTAAACCATTTTACTTGAACATATTTAAGTAAGTTAATATATGCATTTTATTTGACTACCCTAGGCCTCTCATAATTAATGTCAATATACTTGGATGACCATAACTAGAGCTTGATGTTTTTATATTTATAAGAAATTTGAATGAACATTTTCACAGTTATAGCATTCTCTTTATCAAACTTGCACGCTATGCGTGTCAACTTTAAATGACGAATATTGAATTATTGAAATTGCTCATTGGCAGGAGTTATAATTAATGTCATATTCACTATTGACATTTATAATTTTATAAGTAAAAAGAATATAAAAATTTTCATGTTGTGCATTGCTGTAGCACTGTGTATCGTCGTAGAACTCATTCCATGTGTATAGAAATGCAAACGTATATAAACAATAAATGATATTACTTGAATTTACAATGAATGTCATAATAGGTTACAAGAACGAGTATCAATCACCGATGAAGCAATCATTGTACAAGTACTTCATATCAAATTTGAAAATTATCAAATTACTTGGGGTTTATGTTTTCTATGATTAAGTTATAGATTTTTGCGAAGAAGCAAAATGTTAAAGTTAAAGAAAAGAGAACGACAAATTTGCAAGAGACTTGAACATTTTACAGAAGGAGACAAAAATTAGTTTTTTTTGCGTCAGGCTTATCACAGTATTACAAATGCAATATTTTTATTTTAGATGTCACATTACAAAATGTATGTAAATAAAGCATATTATACGTATATTAAATACGAGCATGTAAAATGAGACAGGAAACTTTACTTAAATAACATTTAAGGAAGATAACTATATACACGTCTTTGATTGACAAAAATATCTTTTTAAGATAGTAACAGAAGTACGGTAGCATTTTGACCACCACACTAATACTTTCTGCCCAATGGGGGAGTTTCCCACACTCTACTGATAAGCGGAAGTAGTAAATAAGAGGTATACAAACTACGGCCACTTGATGTAAACACAGAGATTAATAGAAAGTTTCTGAGTATTGTGTCTGGTCAGTTGTTAAATTAATGAATTAATTAATTACCAAAGGGTTTCAGCAGCAGGAATAAAAGAAGATTTTATCATTTAATATTAAGCTAATCATATTTAACAAATTGAATATATTACATTAAATCTTAAACATATAAACGGCTTTATTTTTCAAGTGTACAAGTGTACTATGTAGACTGAATAACAGTATGAAAATGATCTTGGAGAAATAATCAACACTTTCCTGTTAACACTTTTAAAATACAATGCCTTTAAATACATTTTATTTACGTAGAACTAATTAAAGTGAATTATACAATATGTTTGATATAATCTTTTTTTTTGGTATATCTGTAAATTTATGATGCTTCAAATAAATATAATCATATAGAGTTTATTGCTTCAAATTTGTTTTTTTAGTAAATAAAATGCATCTAGTTACATATTTTTTACAGATTGGAGACGTATGACATGATTTTATTTCATAAATATGATGCTCAAATTAAGATTTGTCAATATTGTAAGGTCCAATAAGCATTATTTATAAAGATATTACCCAATTTAACATTTCATGTAAATAAATGGAGATAATTAGAAATTTTTTTTCTATAAATTCTAATTCAATTTTTCCAATAAGAAATGAATGCATGTAATTTATTGATTAAATGTTATGTGCGCAAATATTTGCAGTACACATTTTACATATTCTTCGATGTTTGAAAATTGTTTACATGTATTTGCATAATTATATACATATATAATTTTTTGCAAGTGTGGTATACACACAGTAACAATATCAATCACAAAACATATAGGATCTTTAAAGGCAAGATATACTTGTTTGTGCATTAAAACGTGACATAATCATGATGATGTGTGTCTGAAATAATAAAATTTTCACAGTATATATCTGTCTTTATTGTTTATGAGTATCAACTACGTATTGTTCGATTCATAACATGTATGTCAAATCACTTAAATATTTTCTACAATCAAGCTAGTTTGTCAACAATTTAAAATCTTAAAATCATGAAAAAGACGTATAAAATATGTGACCCCTGTTTAATTATAGCTGCAGGAAGTTCTGATTTCAGAATTTCCAATTGCTTTGCAAATCCTATTAACAGTTCAACATGTATCAGTTTTGATGCTATGCACCTGTCTCTGACTACAGGCAACAGGAAAAATTACTATTACTATATAAATATATTTTTATATAGTAAACGGGTGCTGGATATTAATTTTGTTCTTGATGATCAATGGGTGTTTATTATTATTAATTATTATGACAATTTGATCATTATTGGCATGGCAAATGTGCGTGACCATAACTTCATTTTATTACCATCACACCCTTCTAATTTACTGCTACTCTCCATTTATTCTTTGATCTTTTATCGTGTGGAAAATGAAACCATCAAAACCCATTACAAAGTGGAACACAACAATAATTCACCATTTCTAAGACTGTAGTGTTAATCAGTTTATTTGGAAATATAAACTTTAGCTTATTAATTAGATCAGTTGATTACAAACTCTGCTTTTTCCCATTGAAATTCAATGTAAACCAGCTATACACAGAGATAGCAAGCATACAGGTGTATACCTCTAATTTGTCAGGGGCGCTGCAAAGATAACTCTGCTGGATTATCTAGAAACTCTCCCATTTTAAGGTTTTAAACGGGAGTGGATTATTGAGAAATGGTTTTAAAAAAACAACAGTAATTGATTATATACATAGTTAAATGAAAATTAAACATACATGTATTAGCAAACTAGAAATCTGAAATTAACCTAAATTATAAAGGAAATAACTATGGCATTATCTTTTATATTATAATATTTCAAAATTATTAAAGGCTCACAATGCCCCATAAATGTTTTTATTTCTGCTTCTTAGAATATGAAAAAAGATCACTTAGGAAGGGCAACGTTAAATGAACGCAACCCTACACGACCGACAAGGAGTTCAGCAGAACACCAAACAACCATTTTTATGGAATACATTTAATATCATTTTCAAATTTTAGTCTTTACCTAATAAACCATCTTGTTCCTTTGTTGATTTTGTTCCTATTTAAAAATGACTTTCAAACTATCAGATTGATTGAGTAATTAATATTGCGTTCATATATGCAATGATATATACCTTAGATCATATACATGTACGGAAAAGGTTTCAAACAACAACAAATGGTAAGCAATCTTTTACTAAATATCACATTCCGATAATAAAAACACTGCCCTGATTAAATTTGTAGTTATTACTTATTTACTTATATAATGTGGCAATTTAAATCAAAGGAAACTTATTGTTTTCGAAAAGTCTTTATTATATTTAGATTGAGAATGACATCCATAATACGTTACACTTTGAAAAGTCATGATACACAAATTGAAAGAAAGTCTGATTAAATTTAAGAAAATGCAATGAAATTTCATTAGTAAGAGTAAATAGTCTCATTGTTCTTTCATTCTTGAATTCCGACTTTAGTGACACGTACATCTCCTTTGACCTCAATACGATTAACCTCATCTATTGCAATCCGATGCTTGTACTCGACGACAGACTCGCCATTGACCATAACCTTTAAAACGCAAGACAAAATGTAAAACTTCTAAAAAGAACAAATAAAAGTGTTTGAAGAACATTTTTACTATGTTTTTCAATTATTGCACTGGTTCAAAACTTGAAAGATGCTTGCAAAACAGCTATTACGTGGTAAAACAGGATAAACTCCATTCTGCCTGAATCTAAATGATTTAATTCTGTGCGAGACCGGGTACACTGACTCAAATACTATATGAAAATAACAGGTTAGTCTCACAAAAAATAACTTGTTAGTCAGACAGTTAACGCGATAATCATATGGTTAACTATTGGCAGAAATATGCCACCATAAATGAAATATTTTGTCCATAGGTTATCAATGCATAAAAATTGCTTTCATTATTGCATTAATTTTAAATCTGCTGACAAATTAGTATCCCCACCCTTTATCATTTATCCTTGTATAAACCATTAAGCATCGCTTGCAAAGCCAAATGGTTAATTTTTATATTTATGGTGACAAGATTTGTTATGAATTATGGATATTTCAAACAAAAATTCACGCATACATAAAAATATTTATGTAGTTTTCACTCTTACCTGAAAAAATACATAAAACAAATTTACAATAAGAAACCCCCAAAAATATTAGATTGTCAGTGAATGAAGTAAGTACCTTGTAACAGGAATTGTCCACCAGGATAACCATTTCAAAAAACTTGTCTCGTATGAAAGGACATGGTCCATTCAAATACCTCTCCTCGACACCCCAACCGCTAGTTTTGTTTTTTTTAGTATTTCTAACTATCTTATCTGTGTTGTCACCATGAATGCGTACGTCAAAGTGGAATGCAATGTCTTTTTCATTTCTTACATCCACAGTAAATCTATTGAAAAAAGTTGATACACTTATTATAGTTTTTTATAACATGTGACGGTTTTTGTATTCTAAGATAATTTTTATCACAATACTGCAGTTAAGACTTTTTAACTTTAGTCAAATCTTTCAATTAAAGCATTGACTAGATTTTATATATAATCACTATTCATAATACTAAGTTTCGTTTTACCTCTTTGCATCTTCAAATGGAATACCACTGATAGAAAATACTTTGCCTGGATAAAGGCAACCAAATTTGTGTTCAAATGGTGTCGTCTGTAATGTGAAATGTTACTTGAAGATTTTATATGCTAATAGACATACACAAACAAAATTAAAAATTTCATATTGAATATTGTCTTTCAATTTGGACGGATGCTAAACATTTAATATTTGCATTAAACAGATATGAACAAGGTAGTAATAATTTTGTTTTCTTCAATAAAAGCTAGTTTAGATATAGATTATAGTTAGTTTAGATATAGATAACAGCTAGTTTAGATACAGATATAGTTAGTTTAGATATTTACTTACCGGATTATATATCGTTTTGCTGTAGATAAACTACAAAAGAAAATGAGAAAAATTCAATGGAATCAGGAAATGTGCGATACAATCAGTAAAAAGCAAATTTGGTTTCTCTGTGAATTTGATCAATTCAACAAAAAGCCACATTACTCTTTTTAACTTCACTTAACGTGAGTTGACATCTACAAAAAAAATCTTTGTTTTTCACTTTCTTGAAGAAATCCACAGTCATTTCGTTCCATCTAAATAATTTTATTTATAAAATGAATACTTAATCAGCGAACAATAAGCAAAGCTACTTATTTCTAATGACAACTTTTGCTTAGAGAAACTCTTATTTAGTATGTCTAACATGTAAAGTAAAACACCAATTTATCGATAAATGAATAACTCAATATTTTGCACACATGTCTAACCAATAAAGATTCTACGAACATTTTTTAAAAATAATACTCCTTTTAAATGCACTATGCACTATGCAATGCAAAATTATTCAGACTGTTCCAGTCTGACAAGATAGGCTACCGAAAAAGAACAGTTCTTTTTATCAAAATATTATTTGAAAATAAGAAATTCGGTCCCTGTGGGCAATAAGAATACACGAGTTAAACCACTAACCGGAGCCTGGACGGTTGCCATTTTCGTTGTTCGCCCCTGTGATTTTTAAAATGATTAAAATGGTTAATCTGTATCTCACAAATTTGACACTACAAATGAATATTTAAGTTCCTTTACATTATTATTAAAACAGAGTTTTCATTTTTAATCTCTTTTCTTGAACTTTAAACCCTCTTAATGGTTTTATATTTCTAAATAGTCACAACACTTATGCAAAATATTCCTGTGCACTTACAAAACGGAAGAAAAAAAACTAAATAAACTAAATATTTATGAAAGGAAAAAAGAACACATAAAAAAGTGTTTTGAATTTACGATCTAAATTCTTTCTCTCTCTCTGTTTGCTTATTTATTAACCCTCTCCCTCACCCATCTGCATGCAAGAACTATCAAGCATATCAATAGGAATGAGATATGAAATTATATCTCCTTAATATGGCCATTTCCAAAGCATAATTTACTACTTTAAGTTTTGTTGCAAACCATTTACATGTAATAATAATAATAATAATAATAATAATAATAATAATAATAATAATAAAAATAATATCTTCATTTCGAGAAGGTTACACATAAAGAAAATACAATTGTTACAACAATCATATACTTATATCTTATTTCCAATGTGACCTTCTGACATGTAATTTGTTTCGGCAGACCGATAGCATTATTACTTAATGTTCTCTAAAACTGCCAGGAATAATGTACGAATAAGGACATCATGCTTGAGTATTGAATTCAAATCGTATTTTATTCTGTAAATCAATGCTCCACACCAAGCCTTTTTGCAATCTACAAAATCTGCGTTTACCCGGTGGTAGCAGGATAAAGCATTTGCTGGCGGACCAAGCCAGGAGACAGCATTTACCTGGTGCTAGGGGACTTGTCCAGGAGATATCATTAACCTGGTGCTAGGGACCAAGCAAGGAGACATCATTTACCCGGTGCTAGGGGAGCAAACTAGGAGACAGCATTTTCCCGGTCTTGGATTTGTCCAGAATATAGGTTTTACCCGTTGCTAGGGTCCTTGTCCAGAAGATAGCTTATGTAAGTGTTACAAGGAAATATTTAAATATTCAGCAATTAATAATGTAATGAAACTACCGCGTACAGGGAATACTTTACTACCACTTATAACCTATTTATCTTCCTTACTTCGAATAATTATGAGACGATACGCAAAATATATCCTTATAATAAATGGCAAACTGATTCAACTATGGCATGTTAAAAGGTGCAATATTCAATAAGTTAAATTGTTGTTCTATATCCAGTATTTTTATTTTATTACTCTAATTTTATATGCTATGTCATAATATTTAGTCAATCCTGCTGAATATTTGTTCATCATAAAAAAAATGTTTGTGTGCGATAATTTTCTTTATGCATGTTCTATATTTGAAAATATATATTGTATAATTAAAATATTTATTGTATAGATCTACTGAAAAATATTTATTCGATTATTTGAATCATGGGATAGAACACTTAGCATACTAAGCTCCGCCTATAAAATAAGCACGAATTTCTGATAAAGCGTTATTATCCTGGTTAAACTAGACTATAGTGTAGTGGAAATGATCAGCGTTCCTGTGAATGTCACTTGTAAATAGTGCATAATTATGCTTAATCCTCCTTATAAATGTTTATGTATATGTAAAAATGGAAATAGATTTAAAAATCTTGAGGACATACAATCGTATAAAAATGGTTTTTCATATGCCTAATAATTTAACCACAATATGAACATATTGAGGATACCATGTAAGATGCATTTACATAAAAATACACGGAACATAAATCATATCCCCTATTTGAAACGAAAAATACCAACAAGAAACATTGACAACTGAAAATGTTATGCCGTTAATGCAATATGCATGTAAAGCAACCCGGCGCACGGTATAACTTTAAAATTTGACGTTAACGACGTCGCAAGCGTATTGTCTTTAACGGAGCAGCTCTTTACTTATTTACTTAGTAGACCAATAGTGTTTCACATGTTGTTAATTGCAGCTGATCCACTGCCTGTATAACTCGCGGTAATAGACTGTTTGATTATAAATGAGCTCTTGTAATGACGCAAACTTCCGTTCTTTCCTTCTTTTATTTGATTGCTGGAACATCGCACATGAAACAAGCAATTATCATAGTATTGCAAGCAATCCATAAGTCCCCTACCGGTTAGAACCCTAGCAACATTCTGATGGGCCATTGGCCGTTCAATTTTACCAGTGAATGAATGACATGAATGAACTTAAATCTTTTGAGTTCTTAAAGTTTGTCTATATTACAGTAATGTGTTAAGTTTCCCTGCCTAGTAAGGAAATTATGTTTATACAACAGATAATCAAAAGGTCCAATTTTCTCAGGATGAATAAGAAATAACTAATGTTTTTAATTCTTTTTTCTTTTTTAAGTAAATTTGTTGCAAAAAATCTTTAAAAAAGTGATCTCAGACAGACAGACAGACATACAGACAGACTGAAGGAGTTATTTTTTCAAACATCCCTGTTACCAAAATATAAAATATTTTAATGCAAAATTCTTAAAGAGAAGATAACTCTTGAAATAAAGATGCTAGATTTATGAACATTGTCATATATGATGTGATTTTTACTTTAAGTTTAAAGGAATGAAGAAGTTTGAGTAAAAAATACCAATTTCTCGAAACAAAAATTAAGTTCAAGGGGGATATAATTCTGAAAATAGTCTTGCTAGAGTATTTAACCTTCTCAAAAATGTTGAGTGATAATAAGAAACATATATATGAAGTTTGAAGTAGATACATTAAGAAATAAAGAAGTTATTTCAAAAAGACAACATTTTTTTCATAAAAAATCTATGTTCAAGGGAGGTAGTTCTGATAATTTTTGTGCTAGAATTGTAAACCTTGTCACATATGATGTGGTTGATGACCAGAAACTTATATTTAAAGTATAAGAAAACAACTTTAGAAATAAAGAACTTATAGTGAAAAAGCTTAAAAATTTAAATCAGAAATTTTGAAATTCATTCTATTTTATGCCATAGCAACTAGAATTTCAACAATAAAAAGAAAAAAAAAGATGTGCATAATCTCCAGACTGCCATCTACCCATATTTTAAGTTTCATAAACATATTTACAGTACTTTTTTAGTTATCACTGGATCCAGTTTATGTGTTAAATTTGCCATATTTTCAGACTATTAGTTGCCATAGCAACCAGAACTTTCAACATAAGAAGAAAAAAAAACATGCATAATCTACATACTGCCATCTATCCATATATCAAGTTTCATTAAAATATTTTCAGTACTTTTTGCGTTATCGCGGGATCCAGTTTTGTGGACGGACGGACTGACTGACGGACAGACAGACGGACGGACGGACAGACGGACGGACAGACGGACGGAGGGTAAACCTAAAGTCCCCTCCGGTTAAACCGGTAGGGGACTAATAAACTATTATATGTCTTATATTAATATAATTTTGCTGCATGATAATGTATCATACTTACGAGAAAATAAAAGAATAATACAACAAAATTGTCATTTTTAAATATATCTTATCGTGTTTTTTTTTTAATTTAACGCATAACCAATTTTGAACGGGACTGTTAAACTGTAAAAAAAAAACACGATAAGACTATTACGAAGAATAGTAAAATGATTTATACAATTATAAACCAAGAACATAATAATCACACTGGCCGTAGCTTTCGCAGAATCGGTGGGTCTATGAAATTTCGTCGCAGAAGCGGTGGATAAAATATGGCCGTTTGCTTTTGTCGGTAAGTTTATGACTGAATTTTGCTTTATGCTTTAATGTTTTACTGGAAACACCTAGTGAGACTGGAGCCCACATTTGTACTTTTCCAACTTATTACACGCGCACGGTGCAATTCATTGCCATTTTTGCAATCACTTCTGTACAGTTTGACGAGGGGACGCCACTTTTGCCTAATTTTGGTTAAAACACGTACACACGTGTGCAAAACGACCGCTAAATACGCCAACATTAAATGGTATGTATGATAAATGCACACAACAACCATACTTTGGAACTTTTGAAAATTGTTATTGCCTTTTTGATAGAAGAATTGACAAAAATTGTTTACAACGTAGACGGCGCTCGATTTGATTGCAACGCAGTGCGTTTGTCCCGATACAATTATTGTCTATTATGAGGGTTTCTTTAGTTGAGTTAAAATCATATGATTATTTATGCAAATAGATTTTGGAGTTGCGTTTCCATTTTCCTTCCATTGTAATTTCTTTGGTAGAATAGTTTACGTTCAACCTAGAACTTAAAAAGACCTTGAGTTCGAGGTTTAACAAGAAACACATTACAGAAATTTCCGTAAAGATGAACCGAATCTGATATCAAAAACAATCTCAGTTTTGAATGTCACTTTGTTATATTACCATACTGATAACTACAATTCATACTTGTATCATAGTTTGGGGACCTTTCTGTTGAAAATGTGTCAGACAGTGAAAGGATAACAATAGAAATGTCATATCTAGTACGCTCTCTATGCAGTTCACAGAATACACTAACGCTTCTTCATTCGATCGATGCGCTAGAGAGTAAATACTTAGATGCTCGATCATTGGTTACTCTTTTCTACGGTATTTCGTTTGGACAGTCGTGATTTTTTAATTTAGTCTGTTACCGCGATGCACGAGGGTACGATGGTGGAAACGCGATGGCACGATGGTGAAAACACGATGGTACGATGGTAAAAACGTGATGGTACGATGGTGAAATTGTGATGGCGCGACAGTACGATGGTAAAAACGCGATCTAACATCGTGATTTCACCATCGTACTATCGTGATTCCACCGTCGTACCATCGCGTTTTCACCATCGTACTATCGCACCAGCGCGCCATCGTGTTTTCACCATCGTACCATCGCGCTTTGACCATCGCGCCATCGCGCTTTCACCATCGTACCATCGCGTTTTCACCATCGTACCATTGCGCATTCACCATCGTATCATCGCGTTTTCACCATCGTACCATCTCACTTTCAGCATCGTTCAATCGTGCCATCGCATTTTCACCATCGTATCATCGCACTTTCACCATCGTACCAACGCGTTTTCATACTCGTACAATCGCGCTTTCACTATCGTACCATTGCGCTTTTACCATCGTACCATCGTGCTTTCA